GTTCAATTCTCCTTTAGCTTTCTTCTTTCCAGGTGGAATAAATATTTCCTCCTTTTTTTTTTTTTTTTTTTCCCCTCCTCACATGTCATATATTCCCCTTTCCAAAATATTTATTTTTCTGGCTCTTCTCTGGACTCATGGTTTGTTGAGTTCTCTCTTACACCCAGAGGCTCCTAAACCAGTCACAGTATTTGAGGTTCAAGGCCCCTGCTCTAAAGAATCTAATATATCTAAAGAATCTAATATATTTTTAAGAACCGCTTCCCAGCCATAAGCCAGTTCCTATTCAGACTTAGTCAAGAGGAAATATTACTGTTAAAACAATTGCCTGTTTATGGTAGCAAAAAAAAAAAAAAAAAAAAAAAAAAAAAAAAAAAAAAAAAAAAAAAAGAGAGAGAGAGAGAGAGAGAGAGAGAGAGAACAATCCTTTCCCCCATAATTTTATGGGAGATATTCTGTTAAAAAAATGTGTGCAAAATGACTTATAGTACATATAATAACAGTATAACCTTGAACACTGATGTGAAAAATTTCAACTTCCAGCATGTTGACAACTATTTAATATATAAGGTCTCCTGACTGGATACTTTGGGCAGTAATAGCAGGATGCCAAAGCTACTTCTGTGGCTCAAGACCAAATTTAACTACTTTCACTCCTTTAAAACACCATTTCAAAACACACTCATGAATCAAGTCACTGTTTCTTAATTGCTTACATATATTATAATCTGCTTCATTTCCCCTAGTACTAATTTAACCAATTATTATTTATTTATTGGAGCAGCAGYGACTGCTGCTTGAACTATTATACTTGGCAAATTCTTTGTTTTCTTAACAGGAAACCCAAGGAATTAAAAGTGAAATTTCCTCTTCTTTCAGGTTGGCAACTGTTCCCAGATTTTCCAATTAGCCTAAATTAACGGGATTTTGTAGCAAACCTGGTTGAGTCTATTTCAGACTGCTTTTTGATACTTTAAGATATTTTCGTTTGTCTAAATAATGATTCAGTCACAACTGCATCATTAGTTAGCAATTGCAAAGCTGATCAGGTACAAATCAATCTAATCTCTTCATACTGTATATTACAAGTCCTTTCCTACTTAATAGAAATTGCACGAAACGTTTCAAATTTTTGCCTGTGTAGCAGCAGTGACAAGGAAGATCTTGGAAGCAATCAGAGGTGGGTTTTGATCACATTATTACTTATACTTACAGAGCTGCGATTCATTTCAACGCTAAGATTCACTTGCTGAAGCAAAGTCACATATGCTTATTGCAACCTTAATAGCATCCTTACAGCAAAGCCAACTTCCAGAAATTTCTTTTCCTGGATTTAATCTTTAATGTTACTATCTCTATATATAATGAAAATGATATCGTTTTACCCCCCAAAATAGACAGGTATCCTCATAGAATACGGTTCTGAGTAGATCTGTACCCTATAAGAAATGTAATATCTGTCCTTAGCTCCCCTGCTGCAGCAAAATAGCCATATTTTATTACCTATAAGAGAGCAACATAAGACATCACATATATGTAAAGAGAGACTCCATACTGGAAGTTAACTTTCCACATCACCTCCTCGTATTTTTTGAATACCTCATGCTCTAGAAAATTTGTTATATTCCTGGTGTATTGGCAGGTAATTGGCAGGTAATGGCACTCACAATGTACAAGGAGAGCAGGGTACAAGAAAGGTAAAGCCCTAGGCACCTCTTGCACTTGCTGCAGCCACTGAAAACATTCTGTCTCTCAGGTTATATTTCGGTAACTCTGACCCTTCTCCCATTTCTTTTATATTTTTCATAGTTCTACTTTTTCAATAACCTCAAGAAAACATATAGCTACTTAAGTGGACCTACAGTTGTAGCYGTTTGTACCTGTGCCTTGTAGGATTCTTTGTAGTTGAATAAATAAATTGCATATATAAATGTTATATATAACTTTTTGTCAGAATAGCATCTTATATCATTATGCTGTAAATGTCCATCTTCTCCCKCTTCCTTTTTTCTTTAAATGCACAATCCTCATTCCTGTAAACTGACTTTTTACTGATGTAGTTTGATGGTAAGTTTTTATAAGCAAAGATTTTTCTTAGAATAAATGTTTGCTTGAAATTTAGTATAAGATGATAACAACTGGCAATAGTTTGTGCTTTTAGAAGACAATCCTAAAAAAAACTAACATTATAAGCCACATAACAATCACATAGTTTGTGTAAGATGCTGAACATCTATTTGGTACTTTTCTTGATTCTTTGGTTTCTGATGGAAGTGAAACTTGCATTCTGTCTGYGAACAGTGTGTGTTGCACCTGCTTCATTTGCACTCAGTGACCAAGTCTTAATGACTGTTTTAGTTTCTGTTCACCTGGGTGGCTCCAGACTGTATTTCTGTTCTTGCTCTTTTTGTATTCCCACTTTATTTTTTCTATAGTATTAAAAAAGGATTATATAATATGATGTACTAAATGCAGAACCTTTTACATTGCCAATAAATATTCAAAAATATTTTGCATACAGCCTATGTACAGAGTTGGTGAAATTGTAATGGGATGACTTAGGATCATTCATCTTTCCTATACCCAAGTATAATCTAGTCAGCTGGGTGGTATAGCAAATTGTACTGACATGTTTATATTAATGCATATTTAAATGAGAATAAGAAAGAAATAGTCAAATTTATGTTAAAGACTTCTAAAGGCTTAACAGCATCTTACTAAATATATATGTCAGCTTAATCTAATCCTCKTGCTTCTAGCATGTTCCACGGTCTCAGCATGGTGCCCATAAAGCTCTCGTGTGTTAGGAGGGATTGCCTGGGAGAAGGGGACCATCAGTTCTGCACTTTGTTCAATAAAACTTTTTATCTGGTCTTAGGACGACGGAAAGATATCTTTGTCACATTTGCATCACAAACCTTTAGCTTCTTTTGACATTGGTAACACTGCCTAYGATAACTTCCAATAATCTGGTACAAGACACAAAGGATACATACACATTCTCTGCCCTCTCCCCACCCCATCAGGGACGAACAGGTTTCTCCAGCTTGCTTGGKCTGTTACAAACGAATGCTGAACTATTTTTGGAAAGTGAAGGAGACTTCACCTGAGGCTACAAGCCTTTGAGGTCACTGAAGACATATATTAGCAAAACACTTAAATGTCCCTATGCTTAGTGATATATTGAAGATTACACTTCTGATTTTGAATCTATGTTATAATAGAGTGGAAAGTCATAGAATAGTCTTCTATCAGATTGAAACTGTCAGTAAGAGATATTTCACCAGCAACTACTCTAATTTGAGATTTCTTTCAAATAGATTGCAAAGTGCTTCTTTCATCTTATGAACTTTCTGAAGTTTTTCAGATTAAAATTCTTTCAAAATACATCAATGAGTGTAGCTCCACTTGTATATTTAAACTGTACTGTATATTCTAGAGATTTGAAAGTATGTATTTCTTACTAGTGATGATAAAATTGCTATAGCGATGGGCATTACTAAGACAGTAGATAGATCTGAATATAACAAAAAATGAACCTGTAAAATTCACAACTCTTTCTCTGCCTATGCTATTAATAGAGTAACATGAATTGTACCAGTTTTTCATGTATACTATTTATACATTTTAGTCAGCAATATCATTAACAAAGCAAATAAAATTTATTTGAAAGTAATTATTTATGGCCTATGAAATGTCAGAAAGGGAGCAGGCAAAAGGATAATGTTAATCCCATGCCAAGAACATGTTTTATCAGATTTCTTTTTAGTTCTTAAACAAGATGTAGTAAAAACAACAACATTCTGTCAGAGTATATGTTCATTCCTTGCTTCCTGGATTTAATATGCTTATTCTATGCCACATTTTTATAGCTTTCAATTCCTATACTTTAAATCTATTAAACAATGTCAAGTTGAATTTTCTTCAAAAACTGCTGCAGGTTAAGAAAAAAAAATAGGACAGTAGAATATTTGAGGGCTAACATTTATGTCAGCTAATTAATATAGATCAGTTGTGGTTTTGCAAGAATTTTTTTTTATGTGCATGCATGTTTAAGATAAATATAGACTAAGGATCTCATAAGGATCAGTTTTTCCTCCTGAAATTAATAGAAAAACTCTTAACTGATTTCAGTACAAGGAGAATCTACCAATTTTGTAGGCCTGATAGACAAAAGAGGTTTCTGTGCACTTGCACAGTGTTCGCTTTTCCAAACAGAGCACAGCACAGAATACAGATATGCAATATAGTGAATAAATCACAGTTGCCACCTTATTGTTATTGTACTGTACTTTTTTTCTCAGGGAATCAGATATTAAAAAATCTAAATACTGGAAAAATAGTAAATTTGCTTGGTTTACAGCTTCTATTTAAAAAAAAACGTTTTGAAGTCATCCTGTGTTCAAAAACAGACACCCTCTAATCTATAGGATTCAATACCATATATTTCTTGTAGAGTATTCATATTTCATTATTAGCTATTCTTGAAAAAGTGTATGTTAATACATTAAATATTTATATTTAAAAATATTTCTAGATCATGACAAACGTGCTCTATCATCCGAACTCTGTTCAAAGATTTTTATGTGGAAGATTCATGTTGGAAGATTTTTATGTGGAAGATTCACCATCTCTGACTCAGAGGTTACTACGTGGACTTCACAGGTATCGTGACAATTTCTCTTATAGAATCACAGCATAATTCAGATTGGAAGGAGCTCACCTAGTCCAACYTTTTATTCAAAGCAGGCTCAGCAGATGAGATCAGGCCAGCCTGGTCTATAGGACTATATTCATTCTGGACTTGAAAATCACCAAAGATGGAGTTTTCTATTTGATAATTACGCTTGGCAACCAGAAAAAAAMCAAATATAGCTTAATCATGCCTACCCTCAAAGGCATTTCTAAAATACCTTCTTCCAAATAAACYTTAGGTAGAAGTAAAGAAAAATTACCTCATGACTAATATTAACACTGGTGAGCATCATCAAAAGCCTTACCTGCTCGTAGTGTTTGAGCATCAAAGAAATCCTTCTTGAAGAAAGCTCTAGAAGACAAAGGAATTGCTCTGCAGTCTTCAGAAAGTTTCTCAACAGCTTGTCTAAACAGARCAACTAAATCATGAAGAAGTCCATCTAAGTCGACTGGAGAAGTAGAAGGTGATATCAAGCTCAGACGTAGAGAAATTGAAGCACAAGATGCAGAACTGGACTCCACAGATTCACATTCAATTTCAAACCCCCCTGACAACATCTTCATTGCAAAATGCTTTCTTTGCATCGGATTGTCAACTACTGCAATGACATGCCACTCAATGGCAGCATCTCTAGGTAAGTGAGATATTACAACCACATCAAGAATCCCACACACTGTAGCTACATCATCATGTGTGTCTGAGTCTTCTTCCTAAAAAATAAACAAAATATTTTGGATATCAATAAAATGTTAGAAATTGATGATGTTCATACTCTGTTGAGATTTTCAAAAAGTGTACAAAAAAGTTATTTCATGGAGACTGCATTTTTCCTTAAACTTTCTTTTTTACCGAGAAAATCATTTTGAGCAATTATGAATTTATCTGACAGCTCATATCTGCTCATTTTACAATCTTAGCTACTATGCCTCTGTCATTTAAGTAAATATTAACCATAATGCATTTTACTCTGATTCTAATCAAACAGAATATGGCAGAATTCTACTTTCTGCACAGGGTGACATTTGTCCATATCAATGGCCCTAGAAGAGTGCAAAAGGTAAGACTACTAAAACCACAGAAATGAATTAGTGAAGCACACTGGTTTATTTTAAAGGCTGGAATATTACAGATAGGTAAGGACAGTGAAGGTACAATTCACATAGTTTTGAACAGCAGAATGGTCTGAACAAACCTTCCTAAAAAATAAGAACACTTCCTTTGCAGTGAGGCTGGTTTTCAAAATATCCAGGAACTTGAAATATGTATTTTTATATATCAAACAGCATACCTTAATAAGCTACCTCTAAGCTGCTACGCTTCTAATGATATTAAAGTAGTAAGATGTGTCTTCTACTTACTTTCTTGGTAAAAATTTTAGCATAAATTGCAATGTAGCATGTTAATAGGCATAACAATTGAACGTAATGCTTCAGAATGCTGAAATGTTCTTCYATGATACAAAGAAAGAAAATACGACTTTGTAGCCATTTCAACCTAAATTAATTATACAGATGTACACTAAAGAGGATTATCTTTGAATCTTAACAAACCTAAGACCAGTTCATAAAAGATTTATCTCATCCATCTATTGTTGCTGGGTATTTAGTTGTTCTTCAAATGAATAATAAAAAAGAAGTCTTTACAACTTTCAGCCAGGAAGAGCACATTTATGTCTGCCATTATCTTAAGGACAAGCATTCCAACATGAATTATATGGCAAAGTCTATTTACGGAAAGCAATTGAATTCATGAAATATATATTCTCTTAAAGTATTTCCATCAACATTATCTGCTTTCTGAATATTATTTGAAGAATTTTAGATGTTTATTATGGCCTGTAGACTTTTTTTGTCTTACTTTTTCCTCCATTTTTTAAACACAGATATGTCGAACATTTTAATATTAGTGACTTACACCTTCTTCCTGGTGTACACAGATTTTTTTTATACACCAATTTGCTTACACTGCAGTCTTTACCGGTAATACTGCCCATTGCCTGACCTCTGAATGGAAAAATAATAACAAAGCAAAACTGTCATTTTCCCCAAAGTCGATAAGGCCATATAACTCACAGTACCTTCAATTCACAAGCTCAATTTTCATCCACTCACTCTTGACTTTGAGAGGAAGGAATAATGATGGGTTACAGGCACTTTATTTCAAAATTCACTCACAAAGTTATTGACAAGCATTTTCCACAGAACATCTTTACTGCTTGACCCTAGTGAGCTGTTTACATGAAAAATGCACTTACTTCTGTATTAACGATAGTGGAGTCTAATTCTATACCAAACATGTAGCAATTGCTTTAGCATTTCTGTTTTTGATATGGGAACAAAAATAGTGATAATTTGTCTCAAATTGCAGTCACTTCAGTCATAATAAAATCTCACTGAGTACTGTTTGCTTTCAGTACTTTCATTAGGTAAGCTGGGCTGTTATTAAGGTACCAACACATAAATGTTATATTAGCACTTAACAGRAGCACAGTATTCTCCTCTAGAAGATGAATTCTAACCTTGTCAATATAATTCTGCTCTGAGTGCTGTAAAACAGTTTGAAAAGATGAAATACTGGAGCTTTGCACAGAGAGAAAAAAAAAAAAAAGAAAAAAAAAAGTCATGCTCATTCAGGCTTAAAGGCCACTTTGCTGGCCCAAGGTGCTGAGGTACCGTTTAGAAAAAAAAGTCTAAAGAAGCTCTCTCAGGTCATGTCAAGCATTGAAAGAAAGTTTTCTACTTCTCTGTACTTGTCGCAGATTGTTAAATCAATTACTCAGGATTTCTGCTTGCCTTCAGCTGCCATTTAGAGGATGAAAAAATACACGAAAATTAAGGCCAGGATAAAGTACATTTCCAAATTTAACAAATAAGAATCATTCTGAGTGAATGACTATACACAGTACACCTGCACAGTGCCATAAACTTCCACTGGCACTCATAACCTTTAACTTAAGAGTTTGTGCAAAGCACTAGTGATGGAGCTACTGGGGACTAACAGTCTTTCATCAACTGCTACGGACTCTTACAGAATTGCTTCCAACAATGACCTCACCTGACTTATTTTCAAGAAATCGCTGACATTTGTGTTATACATGGATGTTGCATTTAGTCTTAAAAGTGTGCTTGAGTTAGCTTTAAATTTACAACCTCCTTAAACAGCTGAATATCTTTATGACAACCTGTCCAGTAAATAACAACGAACATATAAGGTCTGCTAGGGAATTCTATTCACAGGATACTGGAGAAATATAAGTAAGCATGTTATTAAGGACAAAGCATGATTATTTTACTGCTAGCTGTTGCYTTGTAGCAACAAAGAAAGCATGTTGCCTTGCAAATCTTGAAAAAGAAGCATTAGATAATTTTTCAGAAACTTCTGCAAAATTCTTGTTACTGAGAGGTAAGAAAAAACAGCCAAACCTATAGAAAAATGATTAGGAAAAACTCAACTTCAATGATATTCAAAAACATAAATGGATTATTCAAAGCCAAAGGATTTAATCTTTTCTAAAAAGAAAATATCCCAAGGTAACTTTGTACCAGGAAAAGTTTGGAAAAGGATGTTATTTCTATCTTACAGTTTTACATGAGCTGATTTAGTGGATGAGGATATTATGCATTATAGAGTTTTCTGCTGTCGGGCAGGAGACAGCTTCTGATAACAAAAACCTTTAACAGTACTTTCTTCCAGGAAATGGATGTAGATTTCAAGGCTATTATTAGTGGAGCCACCAAGGATGTTCGTAGTGTTTTAACCTCTCAAAAGAGTTTGTGAGATGGAATTATCCCAATCTTAAATTAACTTAAATCTGCAAAAGCATAAGGATCACTGGCTGGAAATAGAAGGTGTTGAAGAGCATGGCTGAAAAGTTATTGAAGGCCACATTCTACAGCTATCAAAGGAGATCCAATTCAGTGGTGTATCTAATCACAAGAAATGAGAATAGTAAATCTTACTAAATTCTTTATTCATGCGTAGGCTCAAGCTGAAAAGATGCCCTAACACTTTTATGAAAATGTTTAATGCAGAAATACAAAAACTTTCACATAAAGAGAAGGAAAGTTAACAGTGTGACTTAATTTTTAAAATTGTAATTAATCTTCACATTAATGTAAAAGTGGTCATCTGAACTGCTGGGTGCATAATGCCTTCCTGTGTTTTGCTTAAATACTAAAATGATCTCAGTGGTTCACAGCATTGCTCAGTTCTTTACATTCTGCATGCCTTAGTTCTTGGTGGAAACRCACCCTGCTTTCATTGTCCTTATTCAGAAGAGCTCCAGGAATCCTGTTACTTACACTAATGAATGCCTGGTGCATGACAGTACTGCTACAAAACAAAGTGGAAGCTGATGCAAGCAGCACAGTTAAATGAAGAACAGTGTGCTGYAAGTGCTGTAAACCAGCTTAGAAAGAATGTGGGTTTACAAGTGTTACCCTTAAAAGAGAATCTCTTAAACAAATAGAGCATTTTATCATTAAAAATGAAAAATCAAAGGCAGACCTGGCAACATGGCAAAAAAAAGAGGAATGAGTATATGACAAATCCATAACCAATCCATTACACAAGCATTTAACAATTTTACTTAACAATTTAATTAGAAAAAGAAGGTACATATTTTACCTATTAACATTTATTAAATACATTTGTTTGACATCCTGCAGCTCTTCCAAATGAGAAATACTCTTTTTGTTGTATAAGAACTAAAATGTACCTACTTCACAGCTGAATATGGAATCAGACTGCAAGAGAAAAAGATGAATGCATAATTGCTATCTCTACAAAGAACTGACTTGGAGAACAAAAAAGAAAGATACTGTGATGTTACTTTTAGAAGCTGAGTTTATGAAAACCTTCGATGGCATGCATTATTACACCATTATACTGGCAAGATTAATGTGCCTTTAAATAATACATTTAAAATTTCTTTTACACTGCCTGCATAAAACAGATTGCATCAAACTCCAGAGATCCAGTTTAAGCTTTGCTGGAGAGTCTCTCACAACAATAGGTTTATGACTTTGAAAAGTAAAGATTCCACCAGGAAAACTGCATAAGAATAAAAATGTCAGCTCCCAAAGAAAGTAGGATAGAAGCAATCCTTTTCAATACCCTAGTTTGTCTAATAAATAGGCCACATACATTCCTAGTATTACACTTCTGAATTCAAAGAATGAATACCTCAATGTTTTATAACAATAAAATTGTTAAGAATATTCCTTTTGCAAAGCTTAAAAAAAATAAGAGAACCTAATGGTTATTATTCTTACTGAAACAAACAAACAAAAAAAGAGATTATTTGCTGCATGCCAGAAATACATTAAGACTAGAAGATTAAAATTGAGGTCTTATGAAGTTGAATATTCATGATGGAATAAATATTGTTAAAATAAAAAGAAACAAGTTTTTCAGATATTTCATTCTGCTCTATTCCACACTGTGTTGGACAAAGCTGACTGTAGTAAAATTCCACTGCATCATAAAAGCCTATTTTGTATAATGACAACCTGAAAACTTGGCCTGTRCTTATTTCATGTTACTGTAACTAAGAGTATCTAGAAAAAGCAGAGATCTTTTATTTTTAGTGTCAGTATCTGAGGCATATATTGCAGATTTTTTTGTGCAACCTTTACCTGCATTTCAAAAATAGAAACATAAAAAAGATAAAATAGACATAGAGGCATTATTTCTAAGAGCACTTTTAACC